CGCGGTGTAGAGCGGGGGGGGGGTGGGGGGAAGGGAAGCAGGGGAAAAAAAATTTCCCCACATTTCAACCTGTTATAGGAACAGCCCTTAGCATCCACAGCTACCTATGCTTACCAGACTTATGGTACACCTTGAAGGAAGCAGCACCATCAGCATGGATAAAGATGCTTCCAGGACCTTTTATGAATACAGAATGGAGTGGTGGGGACAGCCCCTGAGCCAGCTGCTCCATTTTACAGCAACACTGAAAGCAGACAGCCCAGGCTTGCTCCTCGCTTATAGCATGTTCAAAACACCTCAGAATCTCGGCTAGAGAGACCTTTGTGATCCTTTGCTCACACCGTGGAGACTCCATTTTCACCTCTACCTCTCATCGCCACTCTTAGCTTAGGAAGCTTAACACCTCCCTTTCCAGGACAGGCAAGTGCTCATAGCTGCCTTTTATCGGTTCTGCCTCCTGGTTTGCTCTCACCTCTCTTCCCTACAGGTGCAATCATTAATGCCAATTTTGCTCTATCTTTTTAAAGGGACACAACTTTAATCTGTATTTGTATGATATTCCTTGAAAGAAAACAGAAAGTATACAACAAAATGGAATCTAAAGAGAAGATAAGACTGTACAAAAATCATGCTCAATTTAACGCCACTGTTTCTAACAAATATATTATTTGGAATACCAATGTTGGCAGGTAAGAAAAAGAGTACATTCAACTTCAGGCAGAGAGGGAAGGAGGCGGGAAATAATGTCATTCTCAGGGAGAAGAACTCACAAAAGACTACAAAAATTCAATCCATTTGATGGAAAGCTATTCTGGGAGCACTAATACATTACAGCAGTCAACTCCACAGGGCACCTGCATCCACCACGGGCCCCACTCGTGCCTGGCCTTGACCCTTTGGCCCTGCCACAGCAAATCCCAACAGCTGGGGCTGGGAGCAACACATGCAGGGACCAGGCAGGCAGGGTGGGCACCAGGGTAAGGGCAGCAAGGCCCCTCCTTGTTCAAAATGCTGATACAAATTGTTACTGGTGTGAAGTAAGTTAGAATCAAAGAATAGTTTGGGTTGGAAGGGACCTCTAAAGGCCATCTAGTCCAACCCCCCCGCCGTGAGCAGGGACATCTTCAACTAGATCAGCTTGCTCAGAGCCCCGTCCAACCTGACCTTGACCCAGCTTTATTTGCACTTTCGGTTCTGTGTGTGGGACGGGAAGGGACAGTCGCACGGCTTGTGATGGGGGCCAGCCCCTGAAGAACTCTGTTGCTGCTGCAGTGCCTACAGCGCATTGCGGGGGACCTGCTGCTGCGCTCTCAACAGCCCAAACTCCTGAGGCAGACACTGAAGAACTGCAAGGTTTAAAAAGTGTGAATAGCACTCATAATTTATACTTCTTTCCCTTCTCGCTTATCACATTTTGGGAATGCAGCAGATCAGTCAGACCTCGGGCCTCGGAGCAGTGTCCAGGCCAGCGTGCCTTGGCGGCGCTGACCGATGTGGTGGGTGCTCACCGGCAACACGCCTCACCACGACCAGGAGGCTCACGGCTGGGCGGCGTTTCCTGCGCTGACCCACGGCCTTTACCCCGCCCCAGGCATCAGCCTGGCCACGGTGCTTGGCCGGGCCCCTGAGAGGGGCTTTCCCACTCTCGCCTGCGGCGCAGGGGGCCTGCCAGGCGGCGGGGCCGGGCTGTGCTCCCAGGCTCGGCCCTGCCAGGTGGGAGGCCCGGAGCTCCCCGCTGCCAAGGGAGCCGCCCGTCCG